AAAGTCCCCCCAAGTCATTCTGTGCATCCAAGCAGAGGCCCTGCTGTTGGGAGAAAGAAGCAAAACTGTGCAGGGCAGGGTTTTCGGGGACTGAAAGCCCTCCTGCTTAGTGCTGGTGAAGGCAGCGTGCTCCTCGTGCACAGCAGAGTTGCTGCAAGAGGCCTTTTGCTTCCTCCCTCTCCAGACCAGCTGGTGTGGCGCGCTGCCCGCTGTAGCGGTGCGGCTCCCACTTACTTCCGGCCAATCGGCCGCTTCCTGGATGGAGGGCTGCTGGCCAACAACCCGACCCTCGACGCCATGGCGGAGATCCACGAGTACAATAAGACGCTCATCAAAAAGGTGAGGGAAATCCTAGTCTGGTAACTGGGGTATTTTGGACCCACTGAGCCTCCCTTGAAGAGGAAATGGATTTGGCAATGGATGCGTATTAGTGGATAAACTAGGTAGCAGTGCAGCACCCTGAAAGGAAGTGTATGGAGGAGGATATGTGTTGGGAATGGTGGCTGGGAGGGGAGATACCTCTTCTGACAAGGGTGTGAGACGTGGAGACAGCCTCATCAGCCTCTCCTTGCTACTTTGAACAAGGATGATTCAGTTGATGGTTGTGTGTGGCCCTTGATGCAGCTCTGCAGGGCCTTTTTCTGCCCAAAAATAAATGGAGAAGACAAAGGTAGGGTACTCTGTGAGCTGAAGAGGGAATGCCTTCTGTGGTATGGCAAGTTCTTAAAAAACATGAATAACTACTGGCAGCTGTTGTTCCCTGTAGTTGAAAGGGAAGGTGTGTTGTCAGAATGACTGAAGAGTTGTACTGTTTCATGGTCATCTGGTCCCGAGACTCATCTCCAGGGTGTTCCCATGAGTTTGGGTGCAGTCAGGGGGATAAGGGACAGAACAGTGCAACTGTTGAACTCCTGTGGATTACACACCTGTCTCACCAGGCTGTACTTGAGGAGAGAGAAAAGACTACTGAGCCTTTTGCCTTGGCTTTCAGACCTTCCCCAGGACTGCTGTGAAAGACATGCTCTGCCTTCGTTGTTGGTTCTAGTAAACAAATCTTCTGTTTGTCCACAGGGTCGGAGGCAGGAAGTAAGAAAATTGGGGTTGGTGGTCTCCCTGGGGACAGGGAAGCCTCCGCAGATCCCAGTGAGCTCTGTGGATGTTTTCCGCCCCTCCAACCCTTGGGAGCTGGCGAAGACTGTCTTTGGGGCCAGGGAACTTGGCAAGATGGTGGTGGATTGTGTGAGTACTGGGAGGAGGGGATGGGGAAAGACCCCTGGGGTTGCTTGCAGGGAGGGAGAAAAAGTTTCCAGTCTTCAGCTTCTTCCTTTTGGAAGTAAATTCTATTTCCTTGGAACTACTCTGACCATGGATGTAGTGGGTAACTTAAGAATTGCGGGAGCACAGCAGGTCTGAAGACCTGTCTGCTTCTTTGGGGTTTTGAGTTCCAAGGCAGGTTCTTGCAGCTGAAAGGGGCTGAGGACAGGATGGTGGTCAGTGACCCTTAGGAACATTTGCAGCATTGATTACCATATGAGCAACCCGGGCCAAAAAAAAAAAGTCATTCCTTGGAAAAGAGCAATTCATTTTTCTTTAGAAAAGCCTTGTTGTCCCCACTGGGGAAATCAGTAAACGCTAGAGAAGTGGAAGAGTCACTAATAAAAAACAGTTTTTGAGAGCTGTGGTTAGGAGCGTGTAATAGGAATAAGAGCTTGCATGTTTCAGAAAGATCATGAACTGTTGTGCATGAAAACAGTCCAAATGAATGAAAGCCAGAAGGATCAGAATGGAAGTTCTGACTGTGTTCTTAATTCTGTTGCTTTATCTCCTTTTTAACTTCCTAAAGTCGGAAAGTGCCTGGAGTCCCTCTGCTTCCCCTGTCTTTTACTTCAGGGCTCCCAGGGAGCTGTGCCACGATAGTAGTAATCACAGGCTGTGCTGTTACAGGGCTTGGACAGAATGAATAAAATCCCAAGGAGGCTGTCATTCATGTCCTCCTGAAAGTTTCTTTAAGGGAGTCTACTCAATGCTGTGATGTATGGAGGATCTGTAGGGTGCAATTCCTTGTGTCCCAAAGATCAGGAGCACTGTTCTTATGTTAAAAATAAAAATAAATAAATAAAAAGGTGCCTCACTCTTGGTGGCAAGCAGGGCCATCCAGGATGAACTTGCTCCTGGTTTTCCTTTTCCCTCTGCAGCTTGTGCAGTTCAACTTGCAGGCAGGGGAAGAGCAGTCAGGCTGTAACTGTGGGCCTGTTTCTCCTGCAGTGCACTGACGCAGATGGCCCAGCTGTGGATCGTGCCAGGGCCTGGTGTGAGATGACGGATGTCCCGTATTTCCGGTAGGAGCTTCCTTTCCACTGTCTGCACAGATCTATTTTTATCCCTCTCACTTCAGACCTGGCTGTGGCATGCGTCATCCCAAACAGCATCCCCTCCAGAGGCATGCCTGCCCAAACCTGTCCCCTGCCCGCCACCCTCATGCCTCAGTGACACAACAGAGGATGCCCTGGCCTCTGCATGAACTGATGCTCCAAGCATGCCTGGTCTGGGGACACTTAGTGGAGGCTTGCAGGTTGCTGTCTTGCATGGTCCTTCGGGATGTGCATCCTGCCCCATTCCACCACGCACAGCCTGTTTTAGATTTGTCCCTCATGTGCTGCGGTTGCTGAAGTGTGGCTCTGCAAGTCTGACAGACACAGGGCCAGTGAGCATCTCAGTGGCAGGAGCCCCTTGGCAAAAGTCTCCTGCTTGGCAGGCTTGTGCCTGACCACCTCCGCATCTGTGCCCAGCTGGTGATGCTGTCTTGGTGTCTGCAGGCTCAGCCCTCAGCTGCACACGGAGGTGATGCTGGACGAGGTGAATGACACAGTGCTGGTGAACGCTCTCTGGGACACCCAGCTGTACATCTACCAGCACCGGGAGCAGTTCGAGCAGCTGGTGCAACATCTCTGCCGATGACTGACCTGGAGGTTCCCATTCTGCATGCCAAAGGCAAGGGGCAGCAGACACTGAAATGGCTCAGATTTGCCCTTCAACCAAGGTGTTGAGCTGGGGGAGGGACTAGTGATAATTATGAGGAACTAATAATATTTAATAGACAACAGTGCACATACACATGTATTCCTGGACAGCTGTGAAATGCTGACAGTTATCCTTGTTCTGTAGCCCTGTCTCTGCTGCTGTGCTTGGTTTTGCTGCCTTGCTGTCTGACTCAGAATCCAGAGCCCCCACCTACCTGTCTTGAGTTGTAGCAGCTGGAATGTCTCCTGTCTGTGCAGTACCTCCACTGACAAAGCACTGTGCACCTTCCCACGTCACAGAATGGGCTAAGACCTGATGACAGCTTCAGGGATTGCTTGGCCCACTGGGGCCAAGTTATTTCAGAGCGTATAGTATGGGAAAAAGGGATTATTTTTCCTTCAACACACCCAGTTTGAAGGGAAGCAGAAATGCTTCAACTTTTTGGAGTAGATATGACACAGAATGTTGCAGCTGGCCTTGGGAGAAGGGCAAACCTTTCCTGAGGCAGGTTTTCTGTAGCAGCTTCTTTCCCCTTTGACATGGGCTGGCAACACAGGTACTGACTGTGCCTAGGGTGGGAGCAGACCCCTCCCACCCAGGGCTTTTTGTGCCACCTGATTTGCTGTGCTGCTCTTTGCTCAAGGGCTGAGATGTGAGAGCCTGACTTTACTTGCAGCAAGCTCAGGGCAAGGGACAAGAGCCTTGGCTTAGTAGAGAGGTCATTTAACTTAGTATGGAATTGAAATGCTCTGAGATCAGTTCCCTCCAAAGAAGCTGACCCTGTGACAATTTGGGTTTACTTTTTTTTACTACTGGAAATTTCACTGTAACTGCTATACTAGTCGTTGTTTCTGTCGTAAATTTTGCATATTTATAAATAACTTATGTATGTATTTGGAGGCATTTTGAGGAGTACCCCAAAAAATTGAATTTTTAATCCTTTGCTTTTGACTGAATGGACTGCTGTTGCCAACAGGGCTTCTGTGAAAAACTGACATGATCTGAAATAAAGAGGGATTTGCATTTGTTTCTGATGTCATGCAGTCAATGGTTGTCCTCTCTCTCTCTCTATCCTGCAAGTTCCCAGAGGGCTTCTGAGCTTGCAGCCTCTGAATTTCTTCCAGGTACACAATCAGGAATAGGGCTCCTTGAGACACAGGATTATACCAAGAGGTGAATGACCTGTCCTTGCAGACAGCCCTGGGAGCACATATGGGGTGTGAGTGGCTGATAGTTCCACAACAATTGCAATGAGAGGAAAAAGGCTTTGGACTAGCTGCAATATCAGGATCCTCTTAGAGCTGGCCAGGCCCAAAAAGTAGAACACTGAAATCCTTTGGGATACAAAAGGCTGCAGATGGGGCTTTAATTTTGGTATCCCCAAGTGGTTCCCTGACAAGGTAACTGCTGCAAACCTGCTGGACCTGCTGCCCAGTGGTTCCTACAGGACACCACTGAGGTGCTGAGTCATGAGTAGGTCTAAAAACTGATTATCTGCCTTCTGATCTTCAATTTCACAAATGAGATTGTGGAATTAGGAGGATTTTAGGCAGAGTAAAAGTCTTCTTTTCCTGTATAACAGAGGGCCTTACCTTCTTGTAGAAAAACAGAACTTAAGATGGAGAGACCCTAAGCTCCTTTCTGCTTTTTGCCCCTGGCTTGCACTCTGCCCCCCCTCTTTATAAGTCTGCAGGGACTTCCTGGAGCAGGTTCCTTGCATGCAGATGGGGAGATCAGGAGGGTTGCCACGTTAACCCCAGATGGCAATCAAGTACCACCCACCCACTCACACCTCACCACACCCCTGCTGGGGAGGAGACTCAGAAAGAAAAGGTAAACCTTGTGGGTTGAGAGAAGAACAATTTGATAATTGAACCAAAGTATAATAATAATAAAAATTATAAGGAGAGGGAAAGAGAGTAACAGGACCCAAGAGAAACAAGTGGTGCACAACCCAGTTGCTCACCACCTGCTGACCAATGCCCAGCTCATCCCCAAGAAGTGATCGAGCCCTCCAGGTAAATCCCCCAGTTTATATACTGGACATGATGTTCTATGGCATGGAAAATCCCTTTGGCTCCTTCAGATTAGCTGTCCTGGCTGTGCTCCTCCCAAGGGTCCTGTGCAGCTCCTCACTGTCAGAACATGGGAAACTGGAAAGTCCTTGGCTTAGAGTAAGCCACTACTTAGCAACAACTACAACACTGGTGTGTTATCAACATTATTCTCATACCAAGTCCAACACACAGCACTGTACTGGCTACTGGGGAGAAAATTAACCCAGTCCCAGCCAGAGTCAGGGCAGCTCAGGGTGAGGGCCCTGTGAGCTGCTCAGCTGTTGTGTCCTTGGTCTGGAAACCAGAGGAGCATCCCTGCTCCCCTGCTGGCAGTAGATGTTGGGGAGTGCAGGGGCTGTGGGCTGTGTGACCCAGTCTGCATCCTCAGCTCCTCAGCTGCCTGAGCCAGGCTGTGACATGGAGACCTTCAGGCCTGTCCTGAGCAAACAGTTGTGAGCCTTTTGCCTGCTGCTCTGGACTGGGATGGGTGCTGCCAGGGGAGGCTCTGACTGGGCTTTGCTTTGTCCTTCTCTGCCAGGTGTGTGCCAGGAGCACTTGCAATGGCAGTGCCAGTCCCAGCTCACCAGACATGAAAACTGGGAAAGGGTTCAGACAGAAGCCTGTTCCTGCTGTTAGGGAATCTCTGAGACTGGGTGTGGGAGGGAGCCTGGTTAGAGATAATAGTGGGCAGGGAAGAGTTTACATTTGTTTTGAGCTTTCCTTGCATTCTTCCTGCCTGCTGCTATTTGCTGCCTGCCATTGCAAGCTGATGGGGATCTCCTGACTCCCAAGGTGTCCGCATGAGAGAGACCTGAGGATGCTGCACTAGCACAGCAGGGCTGGACAAGCCACCTCCGAGCAGTGGCAGTGACGGAGGCAGCGAACCGGCAGGCAGCCGGCCCTGCAGGTGTCAGGACAGGGAGAGCTGGGTACCAAGCTGGCAATCAATAATGCAAGGAGGCGGTCACATGTCCTTACTGGCTGTCACAGGATTCCTCTCTCCCCAGAGTCTAGTTACTTCCAGAGATCAAGTTCCAGTCTCTTGGCTGGTGAATTATTAAACTCCATCAGTGCTCCCTTTGTACCACATCTGTGTCTTCCTGCTGTCCTTTCTTGCCAGTGACGGGCTCTTTCCATCCAGCTGGCTGTGCAGAAGCAGAGCCCTCCAGGCCATTATAGCACCTGGTACTCTCCTTTGCTCCTTGCTTCTCCGTGGGAAAGGGAATAGGCTCCAGAGATGGATCTGTCCTACAGATCCACCATCTCCATCTATAAGGTGAGTGCTGGCATCAAAGACTGCTCCTGTTGGCGTAGGGGAGACGTATGGGTGGGAGAAGAGCTGTTTTCTGCCAAAGGCTCTCTTGGGTGGACAGCTGAGGGCTGAATCCCTTTGCAGGCAGAACTCCAGCAGCTCCTGTGGGCTCTGAGCTGTGTTTGTGAGCAGATGGCTGGCAGGAGGAGATGATGGTGTGGGTCCTAGAGGCAGATTCGGGAAGGAATTGCGCAACCAGGGTGGTTGGGGCATGGAGCATGAAGGGTGAACCACCTTGGTTACTGGTAGGAAGAAGTTCGATCGGCTGTTTTCCCCCTCACTGGAAAGAGCTGTCTGATCTTTATAAATGTTTCCTTGCACACTTTAGTGATGAATCAAGGTGATGGGGGCTGGCAGAAGGGGGAATTGCTTATTTGAATCTCTGGTCTTCTCTGTAGTCAATGAACACCTTTGATAAATACAACAAATAAAAGCGGAAAGGCTGGTGTGAAGCAGTCTATCCCTTCTCTTACTAAGCTCCTGAGTCTGGCAGTGCACCACATCCTGGCCAGGAAAGAGTTGTGTTCGTGCCTAGATAATAAACAGTGGCTCTCACCCTGGCCAGCTCTGGGATGAGGGGAAAGGCTGTTCAGATCCCCTTGCACTTACTCCCCTGCCTGCAATGGGTGTAGGACCTTGGGAGAAAGCCATATTCAGTCAGGCAACCCCTTGGCTCTGCAGTGGGCTACCTTGCCCTCTGGCACTGCTCCTCTCCTGGCTGGCTTCCTCTCCTGGAAGACTAAGGACAGCCAAAATTCCTAGCCACCTCCACTGCAGGGAGCTGACTTTGTGCTCGGCTGTACATCCCCACAGCCAGCCTGTGCTGTGGCTGGGGGAGCTCTCATCCAGCCAAACTGCAGCAAGGGGGCATCAGCTTGCTGAAGTCTCTGTGGTGTGGGGAAGAACAGCATTAACGTGCTTCTGCCTGACCACAGAGTATCCTGGAGCAGTTCAACCCTGCGCTGGAGAACCTGGTGTACCTGGGGAACAACTACCTGCGTGCCTTCCACGGTGAGTGGGGTCCCGCCCAGCCAGGGCTCCAGACCATACTGCTGCATCCATCCTGGGCATCTTCTGTGCTGTCACCCAGGACAGGGTTGCTGATCTGCCACCTCTGACATGTCCTGAGCTGCTCTTAAGTACTCTTCTACTCCAGGACCTGCTGCTGATGGGGAGAGATGGGGTGCCGTTGCCTATAGGCGACGTACCAGGGAGTGGCTGTTCTGTGTGCTGCTTGCTGGAGCTGGTGATGATGGGAAGGCAGGCCAGACCCTTATCTCCCTCCTCTCTCCTCTTCTCTCCTCACAGCATTATCCAAAGCAGCTGAAGTGTACTTTAAGGCAATTGAGAAGATTGGGGAGCAAGCTCTGCAGAGCTCCACCTCACACATGCTGGGTAAGGCTCTCCTGCACACCATACTCTGTCCTGTGATGAGCCACAGTTAGGTTTTTTTGGCCTTCTCCCTTAGCTGGTCTCTTTCCAGGAATAGAGGGAAGAAAGATAGCTCCTCTAAATGGTCTCACCACACCAGGCCCTGTCCAGGTGCTGAGAGTCAAATTTATTGTTTGTCCTTGAATATCTCTCACAGTCTCTGTATCTCTCTGAGATCAATGACTGAGCCCACCTCTTGGGATGGACCTCCAATGATGGGCCTCTTATGGAAACCAGTCCTTGTTGAGTCCTCCTTCCCTGAGAGATGAAATTTTCGTCAGGGAGGAACCATTTTCTTCCTCCTTGCAGGTGTGGGGGGAAAAGCTGGAGAGCATGCACTGACAACAGCTGATGAGGTCTTGTCCTCCTGAGCCTGCAACCAGGTGGAATGGCAGCTTGGGGCTGAGGGGCTTACACTCAGCAGTGCAAATAACTCTGCAGCCTAGTGGCGACTGCTGAAAATGTGCTCAGGGAACTGCCTACTGCTGAACATTTTAGTGAAAAGCTTCCAGCAGATGTGTCCCTTCTGCAGACTCCTGTTGTCATATGCACCTCCCAGCTAGCTCCTCTGCTCCCTGTTGTCAGTCTCTTCCTTTCCTGTTTTCATAATACTGACACCGGTGAAGCAGGACCATGCGCAGCATCAGCAGCAGGTCTGTGGCTGTTTTCCCATAGGGCAGCCACAACTGTGCACAGCAGCTGGGGTGCCACTGGCATTAGAAATGGCACCTGTAGGGCCTATGGCAAAGCAGAAACCCACTGCCCAGAGCCCATGGCAGAGGCGAGGCTGCCTGCTGGCACCTGGTGCCAAAAGAGAACACTGGTCCCACCACTTAGTGGGCTGGAGCAACCCTGTGTTGTCAGTGCCTGGGGAGGAAGGCTACCACGCTCTCTCAGGGTGCAGAGAGCAGTGCTTTGCGATATCTCTTGGACTTTCATACCTGTGTTTCATCAGCCTGAGTTGCATCATGCTGGTCTGCCTCCTTGGGCACACAGGGAAATGGCCGCAGGATTTTTAAACCTTCTCCTGTCTTTTTCCTTGAAGGTGAAATTCTTATGCAGATGTCTGATATGCAGAGGTTACTGAGCTCTGATTTGGAGGTTGTGGTGAGTGGTTTTCCTGAGGGCTGGTGGAGGTGGGAAATAAAGGCACTTCCTTAAGCACAGCTTATCAGCATTTATTGCATTCACCTGCCCTCATATGAGCCCGCAGGCAGATGCCTGCCTCCCTGCTATCCCACGTGACAGAGGAGTGTTACAGAGCTGCCACTGCAGCTGGCGTGGCAGAGCCTGGCAGGTGCATCCAGGTGGCAAGGGAGTCTCTGGCACAGCAAGTTTTATGAGCCACCCCTCACCACAGTGCATGCAACACCCCGCTTGCTGAAGGGACAAGAGTGATGGCTCCTTCACCTCTTTCAGGCTCAGACCTTTCACGTGGACCTGCTGCAGCACATGGAGAAGAACAGCAAAATGGATGTGCAGTTCATCAGTGTGAGTGATGAACTCCCTTCTCCTTCTCAGCCCTCCTTGTTTTCTTCTCCCATCTACCCAAGGGTTTTTGCTTGAGCACTTGAAGTGTTTCCTTGACTTTTCTCAGGAGGAGTTGGGGTGGCTTTTCTTCTCCCATCATGGAACAAACTCCTCTTGTTTGGCTGATGATGGAGAGCTGAAGAGGGCAGGTGACTGTTCTTTCCATAGTGGGAATTGCCAAATGCTTCAGTGGGGCTGAGAGACTTGGCATCCCAATAGCAGAGTTCCCAGCTTTCCCAAATCACAGCCTCTGCATAGCTGTGGGTCCTCTGCCATTATGGCCCAGCTGGCCATGTTGGTAGGTAGTGTCATGGAGGGAGATAGAGGCCTGGGGCAGCTGGGTGCCAGTTCTTGCTCCTGAGGTCTTGAGGTTCATCAACACTCTGAGGCCATTCAAAATGAAAAGAAAGGTAAAGAAAGACTTTTTATAAGAGGTCCAGGTGAAGCCTGATTTCAGGGGGACTCAGATGTATGACCACGCATCAGAGCAGAACCCTTGTTGCTTCACAGTGTGTCTGGGTCTCTGGTTCCTCACTGAGCCTGGTTTCTCCCTGGCAGGAGAGCCAGAAGCACTATGAGCTGGAGTACCAGCGCAGAGCCACCAACCTGGATAAGTGCATGGCAGAGCTGTGGAGAATGGAGAGGGCTCGTGATAAAAACACACGGGAGATGAAGGTAAGCAGTGATTCCAGGAAGAGGAGCTGGAAAAAAGAACTGGATGATTTCTGTGGAGCCAGGGCTGATTTTTCAGTTACCTTAGCCACAGAGTTGCCAATATGCAAAAGGCAGCAGGTTTATCTGTAAAGTAGGAAACTCCTATTCCACAGGGTGCTACTGACCTGTGGTACTCACTCCTGCCAAGCCTTTTCCTCACTTAGGAAGCCTCAGTGTGCAAGGACTTAATCCCTGGCACTCTGCTCTATCTCCTCTGTGGTGCTCCAGCACTGCAAGTGAACTGGGAAGCTCATTGACATGATGACTCCTTTCAACCCTTCCCATGCAATGTGTGAGCCCACTCTGCTGGATTTTCACTGATCCCTTCCTCCCTTTTTTCCCTGTGGTGCAGGAGAATGTGATGCGACTGCGCTCAGAGATGCAGGTGTTCGTCGCTGAGAGCCAGAGAGAGGCTGAGCTGGAGGAGAAACGCCGCTACCGCTTCTTGGCTGAAAAGCACCAGATGCTCTACAACACTCTCCTCCAGTTTTACAGCAGGGTATGGCCCTGACATGTGGGGGAGCAGAGCTTGGGAGCAGGCAGTGGGGCTGGAGAGGGAGCATGTGGGTAGAGGGAGCCAGGGCTGAGCTGCCCCTTGGGTGAAGGCAGCATCTGTGCATGGACTGGGCAGGAAACTCTATTTCCTTTCTTGCTGTGAGATTCAGGCTGCCTGTATTAGGCTGGGAGAACATGGCTGGGGCTGAGGATGGTGCTGACACAGGGTTAGTTGGGTGTGTGAGTGATGGAGGAGAGAAGGGTGATGTGTTTGTAGCAGTGTCATTTGTACCCCAGGATCTCTGCCATCCTGAAAATTCACTCCTGTAGGATACTGTTTGGCTATTCCCACAAATCTAACTGTGGGAGGACCTGTTCCTAATTTAACACATGTGTCAGCCCTAGGGTCCCTTTGTAGCTGTTCTACCCTGTCCATCACTCCCTCTTTTCTCTTTCTGCCCAGGCTCGGGGTATGATCCAGAACAAGGCACCACGATGGAAGGAGCAGCTGGAGGCCAGCCGCAACCCCTCAAACAGCCACTCACAGGGTCTGCTCGCAGCCTCCCACGGCCAGGGGTATCCATCAGGACGGCTCACACCCACTCACCTTGAGATGGTGAGGCGCCCACAGCTTCACCTTGTTTGATGCACTATTGGAACAGGTTGCCCAGAGAAGTGGTGGATGCCCCATCAAGGTCAGGCTGGAGAGGGCTCTGAGAAACCCGATCTAGTCAAAGATGTCCCTGCTTATTGAAGGGGGTTGGACTAGATGGCCATGGTACTTGCTGCCTTGCCCAGCTTCCATGGCCTTTCCTGGCCAAGCATGAGTATGGGCTGCAATGGGGGAATGTGCTATGTTTGGCTTTCTGAGTGGAACTTCAGATCCTCAGAGCATCATCTGCCTCACACAGCCCCTGTAGATGTGTATTCAGCCTCCTTTCCTTCCAACAGCCCCAGAGACCCCTCGGGGACTTTGCCTCTTCTGTGACTGGCAGTAGATCCAGCATCTTCTCTCCAGACCCTCCAGAAATGAGACTGTCTCCTCAGCCGGAGTCTCCCAGGCAGCCACTGAGGAGGACACCATCAGCCAGTATGACCCATATCTGGGAGCAGTGTTGTGGGGAGACATAGGAGTTGGACCTCTCTGGGAAGAGGGTTGGGTTTGGGAAGGGACTACCACTCTGTCAGACCACCAGTCCTCAGCCACATTCCTGGGCATGGTAAGAGCAGAGTGCTGGGAGATGGAGAGGGCAAGGCTGAAATAGAAGGTGAGCTCAGCCTTCAGGGCAGGGTCCATCCAGGGCAAGGCCAGGATTCCTGGCTGGCTGTATGAAGTGGGGGACCCACAGATGTGCAATTTTCAAGGCTCCTTGGACCATAAGAGCTGGCTCTTGCTGGAGTTCCATTTTAGTAAAGCACCTTCCCTCATGCTACAGATTTAATATTAGCTTGCCCTATGAAACCCAGCCACTTGCCTCATGACACACCTGCTTTTCCTTCTGGAGAGATTTCAGCTTTAAGTGTTTAAAAAAGTAAAAAGGGGCAGGGGGAGATAAAAATTACCCAAATAGTCAGTAGCTCTAGCAGGGTCAGGAAGAGGACTGTCAGGCAGGGCATCAGCCGTGGCGTGCAGTGTCTATGTTCTAGACATTTGGCAGAAGAGGACACAGTGCAAAGCAAATGGTTTTGACTTCAGTTGATTTTCTCCTGCAAGATGCTTACCATTCTTTGCCCATGCTATGCCCTGTTCTCTCCCTGAGAGAAAGCCCATCTACTCCTCCTCTAGAGCAATTACTTGCCTGGGGAAGCACTGGTCCCTTTGAGGCAGTGTGGGTCTTACAGGAGGATGCCAAACTCCAGCCAGACTCCTTGGATGCCTCCCTGCAGGTTTGCTCCCTACAGGCCGTACTTCCCGTTCGGGTTCCTTCAGCAAGGCCAGCAGTGGCAGCGAGGGCAGGAAGAGGAGTGGCATGGCAAAAGTGCAGGCTATCGTGCCCCACGCCACGGGTGCCAACCGGACTCTGCTACGGTTTGACCCCGGGGATGTCATCACGGTGCTGATGCCGGATGCACAGAATGGATGGCTGTATGGAAAACTGGAGGGCTCGTCCACGTATGTGACTCTGATGCTGTAACTTGGCCTGATGCAGGCTTGTTGGGTCTGGAGCTGGGGGGGTTAAGCCCAAAATTATCATCCATCCTCCCCTCCTGGTGTGGCCTGGGCACTATGTCTCTCACCCACCATCTCAGTGGGACATCACTATGTCCTCAGGAATGGGGGCTCTCCAAGCCAAGGAGATGGGGTGGGGCAGGGCTAGCATAGATGAGCTGTCTGAGGAAGCTCCAGGGGCTTTGAGGAAGAGTCAGGGATGCAGTGACCCTCCTCCTGGCTTGCATGACTGAGTGACTCCTGTCATGGGATCCAGCTCAGGGCCATGAACTGCTGGAGTTACCTGAGAGGCCTTAGCTCACACTGCAACTGCTGCCACAGCCTCCAGCACAGGCAGGACATGGAAACTGCTGCACCCAGCGCTTACTGAATTACTCCCTGTGGCACTGCCGGCCAACATGTGTGTGGAAAGCCTGCCCCATTTCACGTGGGATCCCTGCACCAGGCTCTGCAGGAATGCTCAACCTCAGATATGAGATGAACAAGAGCAATGCCTCTCTTCATGAGGGGGGTTTCTGGAGTGGAGTTGATGCAAAATCCCAGGAAGAGTTTTCCACAGCTTCCTTGTGATTAGTTAGTTGGAGTGTCTCTTCCTGTATTGTGACAACACTGCTCCCAGGAGCACAGATTTTGCACAGCCCCTGAGATAAGCAATTCCTGTTCCAAGCTCAAGGTCTATCTCAGAATAACACCGTGCCCCACCTACAGGTGAAAGAAGTTCAGGAGCCCTGTCACACATGGTAGTGTCAGCAGTGGCTTGGTTGATATGTGGGATGGGTGTAGATCAGGAGTGCTGGGCAGCTGGATCTGAAGAACCACAGACCATGGTTTCCTGGGCCTCATATGTCTGTTTCTGTGCCCTAGGTGTGGCTGGTTCCCTGAAGCTTATGTCAAGCCTCTGGAGGATGCGCGGGAGATGGAAGAGCCAGACACCAGGTAATAGGAGGGCAATTGGCCAGGCAGGAGGTGGAGTGGCTCCTGACACATCAGTATATGCCAGTGGGGTAATTGTTTAGGGTGTGCCCCATGGAGAGCTGCAGGGCTCCCATGCTGGAACACCTGCCAAGAGTCTCATTACGCCCTGAGATCTCACAGGCTTCCCCAGGTGGCTCTTCCATCATGTGCAATGTCTTCTCAAAGGTGCTTGTGAGTGGGCCAGTCCAAGCCACGTGTATTTCCTCCAGAGGCATCCCGTGTTGTGGCTAGCACCGGTGGTACTCCCTATTCCTTGCTCTTTGACTCCTACCCCACTGTCTTCTCCTCTTGCTCAGGTCTTTCCCACTGCGAAGCAGTCACAGTATGGATGACATCCTGGACCGTCCCAGCACTCCCTCCTCTAGCAATTACTGGCCTGCTGCTGCCCAGCCCAGTGTGCCGAACCCACCTCCCCTCTCGGTGGGCGCCAGCAGTCACCAGAGTGGGGCAGTCACCCCAGTCAGTTCTGGCTCCAAGGTGAGTGCAGGAGGAGTGACTGGTGGGTGTGTATGGAGTGGGCCACACTGACTTTCATCCTCCAAGGCACACCTTTTCTGCTCTGCCTGGTAGAGAGAGAAAATCACCTTCCAGATGTTGGTGAAGGACCTGCTCCCTTCCTGAGTTAAGGGGTCTTATTAGCACCAGCCTTTCTCACCCAGTCTGTTCGCATGTCACCATGTCCTGATGACCCCTGCCAGCTAGCCTTGTGTGTGCAGATCCTCAGTGCCTGGCTTTGCTCCCACAGCAGACTGCATTTCCGCCCCTGCCTTTCTCATTTCTCTCTCTTTTTGCTCACCAGGGACCCTTCAGTTCGGTCCTTTTCTCCATGACTTCCCAGCCTGATTTCTGGTGGCTCCAGGGCAGCACCTCTTTCTGCTAAGAGTAGGACCATGGAGTGATCAGGCTGGGCTGGGAGTGGGTGACCAGCTAACAGAGATGCCATCCTTCATCTCCCTTCAGAGAATGGAGAGGAGTTTCATAGGGCTCCTCTATAAGTTCAGGCAAGCATTGAGTTAATGTCACAGCTGGGATTGGGAAAGGCTGGGAGTAAAGGATGAGGGCACAGCCATTTTTGAGAACCTCAGAACAAGTTATATGCAACCTATGGTTTATGGATGGCACACTAAGAAGGAAACCCTCCACTTAACACTACCTCCAGTTGTGAGGAATTAACTGGGGAGAACAAAGTTAAAGACAACTAAATGTGAGGACCTGAGAGGGGGAAGAAGGGTGCTGCCCATGGTCTCATGGAGGACTGGGAAACTTCGTCTCTGATCCCTGGTTCCAGGCCAGTGCAAGGTTGCAAACAATTGGGTTGCTCAATGATCTGAAACCCACAACATTTAATTACTCTTTTTTTCTCCTTTGTGTCCTGCTCTGTGGTTTCAGGTAGCCTCAGGCTTCACAACACTGGGGAACAGACTTGGCAGCCTCTCTGTCCCTCTGGGTCACTGGTTTTCATCCAGTCCTGGAGCTTGGGTGTGGGGATAGACCTGGGATTGAGCAATGAAGTGTGTGGAGCATTTGAAGTGGCATGGCAGAGTGCTTGAGCCGCATTAGAAGTTTGGAAAGAGTCAGCCTTGCTTTAAACATATGCCTGAGACATCCCCCAGTTGAGCCACAAGCAAATGGGTGTGCATTTGACTTTGCAACTGGATCACAGATAGACACATGTGGCTTCCTTGTCTGCCACCAGCTACAGAAAGTGGTGTACTTTAGCAGGCCAGTTGCCACTGATCCCTCACTATCTACTGACCAAGAATAAGGGCCACAGGGCATAGATCCATCTTTCTTTATCGGGTTTGTCCACATTTAAGCAATATGTGGTGTAGGGTAGGGAGGTACAGTTCTTGAGTTCCCCGTGGATGCAGGAAGCATGCGAGGGCACTGACGATAAACTCTTTGCCAGGGTGTGTGGGCAGCATGAGGGGGGCATCTCTGGCTGTGCTGGCAGGGTGAAATGTAGCTCAGACTGTCACTGTTTGCTGTGCTCTTCAGACAAGGCACTTTGGGGATCTGAACTGTCTCCTTTCTTCCCTAAGACAAAGGGAGGTGTCCTAGGGGAATAAGGAACCTCTGGTGTAGGGACAACCCCCCACCACAAAATTCAGGTTCTTTTCTTAGCAGGGAATTTGTGGGCTTTCGCAAAGCTTGAATGAATAAGGAGTCAGAACCCTGTTAATAGGACTTGGGCTCCTAACTCACTGGAAGTGTTTTGTCAAATCTTCCTCTGTGTGCTGTGTCTCCTGCCCCACTTTTCTGTCTCCATTCCCTGTACCAGATTGCTCACTACTGCTTTTCTTTTCACTGCAGAAATCAGGAGTATTTGACCAGCCCCCTGAACTCTTCCCACGGTGAGTGAGATGTGAAGCTCTGCTATGGAATCCTCAGACAAGGGGAGCATTATTACAGTGCTATTACTATTTAGTCTTTTGGGTTATCAAATGTGGGAGGAACAAGGAGGTGTCTGGAGGAAAGCAATGCATAGCCTGCCTTCCAGGACAGGAGGCAGAGGTGGTCCATTCTGGCCTCTGCTGACTGGAAAGGCTCTATCCTAACTCTGACAAAATGAGGTAGGCTTGAGCACCCTGAGCATGTGTTCAGACCTGTGTACTCTCTCCCATCCATTTTGCAAGAGCCACAATAGCAGCTCACAGCCTGAGCGTGGAGCTACATGACTGGGGAGCTCTGCCAGCTTGGGAAAGGGCTGAGGCATAAGGCTTTTAGTTTTGATGAGTCAGGTCTGTGGAGATCAGACTTGCCATAAATCCCTGCTTTCCTTCCCCCTGCAGTTGGGTTGGTGTCTTCATGTTTCTGGCATGGTACTGTGGCCTTTTTCTGCTCCCTGGCTCCTTTTCTGGAGGGTCAGGGGGCTACAAGTAGAGAGTGCTATTGGGAGGGACAGCTATGTGCTAATGTCTCCTCTTCATCCTATGGAAGGGGGAGGGTGAGAAGCCCAAGGAGAACCACATGGGAACTTGCAGCAGGGTGTGTTAAGGAGGGCGAAAACATACTCAGCAAACAGCTTTACCGCACTCTCCCTGGCATGGAGGTGACTGCCTGGCAGGACTAATAACCTTTGCTTGGTCAGAAGGATCCCTGCATAGCATTTTGCACATTTTTTCATGGTTACCTGTTTCCTTTCCCTTTCCAGAGGTACCAACCCCTTTGCCACAGTCAAGCTGCGTCCCACAGTCACCAATGACCGCTCAGCACCCATCATTCGATGAGGCAGGGTTGCAGATATTGAAGAATTTCAGCAGAGAAGGAGGAAGAGGACAAGGACTACACAAGGACTGCCCAGCTGGGCAGCAACCTAGTGCTACCACTCATGGAGTGACCTCTCTTTTCCTCTCCCTTACCTCTGGGACACTGGGACCTGTCTCACCTGGGTTTCTGGTGTGCTTTAGCCAGCAGAAGATCCCTGCTGCTCTTTTTGGACTGATCCTCGTCCCCCCTCCCCATGTGGTGTTACTGTACTTGAGTGGGAAAAGTCTGGTTTTACAAGTGTTGGTGGCCTGGGAGAGGGGATGCTGTTGGTCTGGGAGGTGGGGGATGGATGGGTAAGAACATCTGCAGCACAGGGCACTGCTATTTTAATATTGAAGGTGAAGCTTTGCTAGCCCTGCTGTGGGCAGAGAAGGACTCTCACCAAACAGTTCCTTTGCTACCGGAAGAATGAACCCCAAAAGGAGGAGGCTACAAGGTTTCCGGTGACATGGTCTGGCTGACGGGGTTTGTATTTAGCTCCTTTGGCAACCATGTCCTTTTGTAGCAGCACCTGCCCCTTCTCATCCCCAGGGCAGCCCCTTGCCTTGCTAAGCAGCCCTGGGGCAAGGCAGGAGAGGGTGACAATGTCCAGCACTGCTGCTGTGCTCCCTCCCTCACCGTCCTGTGGAAAATATGTAGGTTTTTTTAAATAAAATTGAGAACATGGCTTGTGTAGCCATTCCAGCACCTGACAGAATGCAGGAGGAGGAGGATGGGTGGTGCCCACCAGCACTGGGGCCATGACAGCTGCCCATGGTCATGGCATTGGACACTGCAGTGCTGTAGCTCCAGATGGGGCAGCTGCCAGTCCAGGGGTCCAGAGTGGATGTGGAGGGCACCAGCAGGGCTGCACTACGCACTGCACCAACAGCTGCCCCTTGGGCCCCCCTGGCTGTTGTGCCACTGGATGGCAGCAAGGCCCCACTTCCCGGCTGCCACGTGTGGGCAGGCGTGTCCTCCCTGGGAGGCCATCTGCTCCTCGCCCACCCCGCCGCTGCTCAGTGCAGGGGGAAATGCTCCCCTGGGACCTGTGGGGGCCTCACAAGCCTGGGAATACCCTATGTGTGCTGGGGGAGCCCTCACGGGAGAGGCAGCGTGAGCGAGGGAGAGAGCAGGAGCAATGGCCAAGGCTTAGCCGATTAGCCTTATTAATAGACATTAAACCCCAGCCGTGAGTGCTGCCAAGTTCCTGCAGCCCCCCCGCTGAGAGGCTGAGGAGGTTTACAGCCCAAGCCTTTCCCTCCCCAAAACACCAGCTGAAGTGAGCCCCAGCCCCCTCCCTGGAAGTAAATGGGTTCCCCCACAGTTGCCAGATGTTCTTCGTAAGGCAGCCGCTGAGGGGGGTGTTTTGGAGGGGATTATTGAGATGCCAGGAGTGAGCTGGATCAGGTAGTTTGAGCCATGGCTGGCGGTGCACCTTGTCTTCCATTTCTGCTGGGCACATGCCCTGCCAAACCTCTTCAGCTCTTCTTCATCCTTCTGGCTGGCAGTTGAGGAAGTGGTGGGATGCTTCAAAAGCAGCACCTTCCCCCACTTTGCCCCTTATTGAAGCATGAGCCCATGCTCTCATCCTCCGCTGCCCCCTCCCCAGCACTCTCACTCCTGGCTTGGTCCATCAGCAACACCCCCCACCCTCACTCTGCTTCTGCCTGACTTGATCACTCTGAATCTGGCCCTGCCAGCCTGCCCCACTCTGCTGGGGGAAAGGCAAGGAGCCCCTGGGCAGCAGGATTACCAAGGGATTCGGGCTGCGGCAGGCAGCCACCTCGTCCCCATTGGCTGGAAAAGCCTCTTAAAAGTGCAGAAGTGCTTTCTGCCCGCTCAGCACCTGCTGGTCTCTGCCGACCTGAAACCATAAGCAGCTGCTGACCCACATCCACATTGGGAGTGCCATAGGGCACTACTTGCACGCACAGTAGGCAAGGGGGTCCCCCACACAGAGCATCCTCCCAGATTGGCCACAGGCAGCTTTGCTGGGCATCATTGGAACTGGAGGAAAGCAGGCTGAGAACGGGATTAGCTGTCTTGTGAGGACATATCTGCCCTGAAGGAAGAAGTGGAGCAAAAGAGACTGCTCAACAGGTGCTAGATTCCTGTAGGCCCACCATTCCTGTGCCCACCATGGAGCAAAGATCCAGCAGGACCATCTAACCAGGTATCTTCATCTAGAGCTGGGAAGTGCCAGCCAGAGGGAGAAGGAAACACTGCTGACGGGTCTGCCCAGCCCTTGGAGGCTCAGCTTGTCAGGAGGTCATCGCTTCATTGCACAGGTCAGTGGTGTGGGGAAATGCTTGCATCCTCGCTCTGACAGCCTTTGGGACAGCTTCACCTAGGCCTGCACTTATTTAATCCTCTAAGAAATGCTTTCCCAGAGCATTTCCCAGTCTGTAGGCTGGGGAGACTGGTGGCATGAACTGTGGCCCATGCACTTGATAAACAGACCCCCCCACCCCATCCGTACTGTGTGGAGGTACTAAGAGCCATCCTAGCATTTTTGTGGATCCTCCTGGATGCAGCTTGTCTGGCACAGTGGGGCTTTGCTGGGCACCATCCTGCACTGGCTGCACTGTGCTCTATGTGTGTCCAGGGACCGGCAGCCACGTCTCAACTTGCTGTGGTCTTCTTCCTCCTAACCTGGGCTTGTGACTTCTGGTGCTGGCGCACGTCTTCTCCTTGCACCCACTTTAGCAAGCTCTGTGGCAGTGCCAGCTCTGTGGTGCACTGGAAAGGATAGGTGTCTTGCTGATGAGCTTTTAGGTGCATGTGAACTTATGCATGATATTTTTACCTGTGAATAAAGCTCCTTAACTAAAGAGAAAATGATAGCAAGCTGTAGAGTGCACAAAGGCAGGTGCAGGGTACCTGGTGTGTCCACTGTGTGCAGCCGTGAGCTGAAAAGCATATGTGTTGTGTTAGGAACAAGGCAGCTCTGAACTGCCTGGCTCAGCACTGGGATAAATCTCCAGCAGAGGTGTACTACAGCATATTGGCCTTGGAGGCATCTCCACAGGTGAGCTCCTCTGTTGCACTTCAACTTTTTCAGCCAACATACAGCTGCAGGCAGGTAAAAACGCTTTAATCCTTTGCTGTACAGTTGTGTAGCACTAAGCAAGTGGCTCCTGTGGAAGTACCCATCCAGCTCCAAACTCAACAGCACTGATGGATATTTGTCTATCCTGCTCTTCAAAATGAGACGCCGTGAACTCATCATTGACAGGCGATGCTACAGAAATCTCTGAAGAGCATGTCACAGACAGACAAATATTTTCTTGCTAGGAAGCTGGTGGAGGGCTGCGGGTTTCAGGGAAAGATGAATAGCAGTGGTTTGATTCATTTGATTTGTGATGTGGGGTGCGATCAAGAAGAGTGAGGCTGGGAGAGGGGCTTGGATAAAAAGTGTCAGGGTGCATTTGGTGGTTTGGCAGTCACTCTTATTTGAAGTAGCTACGTGCAGCACATAGTGCAGTGGTGGAGCACCAGCAGTGATTGAGAAATCAGTGTGCTTTGGCAGCAGGTCACCTTTTGTACAACCGGATCTAGTTTATCAGTCAAGTGGAGCTGGGAGACGAACAGCAGGCAGGTAATGGCAGAAGCTGAGGAGACTGTTCAGTCTGGTTGTCAGGGTGCCAGTGATCCAGAAAACACTGGGAAGGGTGTGAGGGGGGAGTTGGAGGTACGGGTATGGTATGGGAGTATGGGTAGCTGGAGAGCGTATAATTATTCTTTTCTTCCTTGTAATTATTCTTTGCCTTAAAAATGTCCTTATAGCACTGTATTCTCAGTTCATGCCTTTGTCCCTTGCCACAGTCTCTGAGATCTGGGATGGGAGGGAGAGACTGAAGTAGCCTGTGCCAGCCCCTGTTGTTCAGCCTGAGAGCTGCAAGGATATGGCTATCTAGAAGAGTTGCCCCAGTCCATGCTCAGAGCCAGATTCTACTCCATTTTTTTATGGCTGATGGGGTCCTGAAAGTTTGGGGAACTTTGGTGACAGGTATGTGGGTGCTGCACTGAATAACCACCTCTGTGTTTTCAGGAGAAGGGCCTCCTGCGGAGGGGAAGGAGGGATACAGCTGAAAGTGGCTGATAGGGTAGGTTTACCTCTTGCCAAGCAAGGGCCCTTTATGTGGCTCTGCCCCAGCTTTTGCCCTCCACACTTTTGTCTAAAGGATTTGCACTTGTTTGACATGCAGAGCAACAGCAGCTATGGGAATCAGATCAAGTTGTCCCCATTGCTGGGAGGACACTAAAAACAGGTACTTCCTGAGAAATGCACCCAGATCCAAAAGTACCAGGTTCTAGCCATGTGTGTCGCATCCACAGGACAGTCCTTGTCCCCTTAGTAGTCTCTAGTTGATGTGTGACTGCTGGCATTTCCCACGACTGCCAGTGCCAAGGGATGGCGACATTGCTGCTATCTCATAGTCCTTCAGCCAAGGGAGCTGGGGAGGAGGGAGGACCCATGTTGGAAGTGTACTGCCAGAAAGATGGTGACGATAGAAGACAAAATGGACCCAAAAAGCCCAGCTCATGCATGGAGAATGCTTGTTTGATCTTACTCAGGAGCATCTATAATCAAAGTCCAGTGATGGTTTTGCATACAGGTGTGAAAATAAGCCTGAATGACCAAGAAACTGAGGCCAATGGTGCTGGAAGGGGCATGGCAGAGACCTGGTACCTAAGGGAGAAATGAAAAACATACCCACAGCAGCCAGCTGGAGTGAAATTCCTGGGCAGCTTAAGAGCCCCGAGAGCAACTCACAAGACATCCCCTTTAATTCCCTCCTTCGCCCCACTTAGGCTTTGTTCCGGCCCCTCCGTGTAGGTACAGAGCCCTAATCTCTCTGGCATGCAAATAACCACCGGTTTTCTGTTCTCTCCCCCTTCACCTATTTCGAAAATCTGGCCCCTGGCAGCGGGGAAGCGAGGGCAAAGGAGAGTGCTGTGCACCGGGGCCTCCTAGAGGAAAGTACAATGGGCTTAATGGATCTCCTTGCCTCACTGCTGGAGGTT